TTAATTTCAATATTGAGAGATATTTCTGGACCATATTTCTTTTTAAAAATTATAAAATTTGTTTTTTCTATATTTAGGCTTAACTTGTTTTTTGTAAACCATTCAAAAAGCACAATTAGGTCTTCTGACATCTTCCTCTCTAGTTCTGAGTAACTGTCATCCTGGTAGAGAATTACAGCGTCATCTGCAAACAATTGAACTTTTCCATTCAGTTGTAGCTTCCCAATGTCGTTTATGTAAATTAAAAACAGTAGAGGTCCCATTACTGATCCTTGGGGGACTCCACATATCATGTATAGTAAGTCACTGATGTCCTTTCCAATTTTTACTCTCTGTGGTCTTTTAGTTAAATATGATTCAAACCATTTCAAAGTTTTTCCCTGTATGCCAATCTTTTTCAATTTTTTCATGAGTAAAGCATGATTCACCGTATCGAAAGCTTTTCGTAAGTCAATGAAAATTGCCGAGCATTTAACATTGTTATCCATTGAACTTTGTATAGTCGTGACCAAATCAAATATTGCTCCTTGTGAGTCCTTATTTTTAACAAAACCATATTGACCAGTGTAGAAGAATTTTTGTTTATGCAAATGATCCTCCAGTCTCTTCTTCATAGCTAATTCATTAACTCTTGCACAAGCAGATGTTATTGAAATTGGTCTATAGTTGCTCACTTCCAAAGTATCTCCAGCTTTAAACAGTGGTTTAATCACCGTTTCTTTACATTTTGATGGAAATACTCCTTCTTGATAGGATAGTTCAATCATTTTGACCATCACGGGTACTATTTTATTACTAATTTTTTTAAACAACATGTTACTTAATCTATTTGGACTGGAATGTTTATTTGACAAATTTGCTATAATTTCGATTACTTCTTTCTCTGTTATTTTCTCTAAGATCATAGTGCTATTTTCTTGGTGTACTTCTTCTGTTTCCTGAATAGGTGGTAATTTATTTGCTAACTGTGGCCCAACATTAACAAAGAATTCATTGAATTTGTTTGCTATTATCTTTTGGTCTACTATAATTTTTTCTTTGTCTTTTATTTGGCATACATTGTTTGTAGACATCAATGATGCGGTACCAGTAGTCTCTTTAATAACTTGCCATATATTTACTTTCCTTTCAATGCAGTTATCCACTTTCTTGCTAATGAAATTCTTTTTTAACTCATTTCTTATTTTGTCTACTTTTCTGGTGATTTCTTTGTAGTATTCTTGGATTACTTTGTTTAGTGGATACTGCTTCTTTTTTTTATAGAGTTGCTGTTTGATAGCACTTAATTTTGTCAATTCATTTGTAGCCCATGGATTTAATTTTTTCAATTTTGGTCTTCTTATCTCATTGCTTTTTTCACTTTCATTTAATGCAATCTCCATATATTCATGAAATCTATTGGATAGTTCTTCCGAGTCACTTATATGATCATATTTAAATTCATTTTGTTTCAAGTAATCGTTTAACTTCTCATAATCTATTTTACTAATTGCTTCCCTCTTCTCTATGCTACTTCCAGTGCTTATAGTCCAAGTGAGCATGTTATGGTCTGAGATGTCATTGTTCACTTCTATATTTGTAATGTTTATCCTTCCTCTTTCTATATTGGTTAGAATGTGGTCTATGGTTGTGCTTGACTCTCTCCTTGTTATATTTTTGTTACACACTTTGAAGCCTAGTAATGCTAGTTTATTTAAATAGTCTTCTTTTTTTTTCCGAGCTTTTATTTATGTCAATATTGAAGTCTCCAACAATGAAGGCTGGCTCGCTCTTTATTGATTTAAGCAAGGGGGTGAGCATCTCCATGCAATTATCCAGTTCATTGATGTTGGGGTTATAACACACTACCAGGTTCATCACTCGATTGACAATTTTTAATTTCATTTTTATTATTTGGATAAAGTCCCCAAATACCTCAAATTTCAAACATTCTATTTCATTCTTTAAATATATTGATATCCCTCCACCTCTTTTGCTTCGAACATGATGAAAATCATTAAATTCAACTATTTTATAGAACTTTAGGTCTTCCTGTTTAAGCCAGGTTTCAACAAAGCATATAATTTGGACTCCTCCACAGTCATCAACAATTTTCTTGATATCATCTAACTTCCCTTCCGGGTTAATGCTTCTTGTGTTTATGTATGCACACTTTATTTCATTGTTGTTTTTCGTTGTTTTGCTAAGATTTAGAGATGATATGCAAGTTTCTTGTATATCCATTAATAATTATCTTCTTTACTGCCTGTGTCGTCAAGTCCCAATTGCTCAGCAACAGTTTCAAATTCCTCAGTAGATTCTATGTAGTATTTTTTAGCATGTGGATCATTTGGGCTTAATTTACTTCTTTCTTCTTTAGATAGTTTTTTAGCAACTATTATGTTACCATTGCTGGTCCATACCGTGCATCCTTTGTTGTTAAAGAACCTCCTAGTTTCCATTGCTAGTATTCGTTTTTCAGGTGTGAGATTTTCATTGATAAACACCCTCAAATCTGAAGATTCAAAGCCTAAGTTCTTTGCAGTGATGACTTTATTGATTCTGGCTTTCATGATGGCTTCTTTCTTCCACCTGTTCACAAACTTGCATATAATAGGAGGGGGTTTGGCCTTCGATTTAGTTGGTAACCTATGTGCTACATCAATCTGATCAGGATTTAGTTCTACTTCAATCTCACTTGCTACTTTAATAACTAAGTCAATTACATCTTCACCTGCTTGGAAGGGAATTCCATGGATTTCCAGATTATTACGTCTACTATACTCAGAGTTAAAGTTTGCAGTAGATATAGCCTTGTTACTTATGTCTTTGAGTTCTAGTAATTCATCATCCATGTCATCCATTCTTCTTTCTAATGGTTCAATGCGTTGCTCTACTATTGCCTTTATTCCTTTGATTTCATCAAGCAGTAACTTAATGTCAGATTTTGTGGAAGCAGCTGATCCATCTTCGAGTGGCAACATAACCTCTTCAGGTTTACAGTTCGTGCATATAAGTTCTTTATAGTTTGGTGTATCCGGTTTCGTATATAATTTCGCACACTTGGCACGGTGGACTGGTTTATAACACCTATTGCAGTCTTGAGAGTTCGACCTTCTATCAAATTTTTGCTTGCAAACACCACAATTAACATCCATGGTGTCCTAAGCCGGGCACCGCCTTGCAATCCCAGTTCTTATCTTCTATTTCTTTCAAAATATGTTTTCGTCTGTGACATACTAGGCTCTAGGTTCCCGCATAAAGAAAACGTGTTCTCCCTTCCAGGCCGGGTCGGTTGGATGGCTTCGGCCGGCCATCTTCTGGACTAGAAGGGTAGTCTTTCCTTGGTCGTGCCGCCGCCCCTTTTGAGAGTAGATCATGAGCTTTCCTAGGGGCGGCAAGGATGAGTTTGGATTTTGGTCGGGTGAGTTATTTTCCACTGGTTTTGTTGCCTTTACTTTCTCGAAAATAGTTAACTTAAATTTTTCAAAATTTAAGGATTAGGTCTGCCTTGCTCTCCCATTATTTTTTTTTTGTGCTTGGTCGAAAGGTTAAAAACACAGATGACAAGCTTAGATCCAGAACGGCAGGTGGCACACAGTCGTCTGGTTTAGTATTTTTGTTGGTGTTTGTTTTCACACAGTCTCTGAGGTTTGAGCACACACTAGAGACAGGTTCCATTTCTAATCGAACAGGAAGTGACACAGTTCTGTTAGTTTAGTGTTTTCGAGAGTTAGTGTTGTTTTCGACACAGTCTGAGAGGTCACTGACACACTCCGAAAGGCCTGAACATAGCTAGAAAAGGTAGTGACACAGTTCTGCCAGTAAGGTTAGATGTATTTGTTTGTAAGTAGGTGGGAAAAGCAAGGTTAACTCAGTTTTTTTTCAAAATCAAGATAATTATTCAAGGTTCAAAGGTTCAAAATCAGGACAATCAATGACAGTCTGTAAAAAAAACAATTGGATAAGTGAATATCAGCTAAAGTTGAGTGATACACTTTAAGGACAAATATTATTTAAATGCCAATGCGAAATGTTGTTTAGTTAAGGACAAAATATTATTTAAATATCAACGCGAAACGTTATTTAGGGTTAGTAAATCAAAAATACTAATGATTTCCCGAGTATTTACGACAAAAACAAGTTCAGATTAACAATCGTTTAAATCAAGTT